AACCCTTCACTGGACTACAGTAAGTATTACTGGTACAGTTTTAACTTTGTCAGTACTGAGCTTGCAACTGAGTTAAACAGTGTTAACAGAAATTGGAACGGTTTGCTTTCGCTCATAACCAACAAGGAATGGTTGAAACTTTATTCGAATTGCGGCAAAAATTAGAAAGAGGATGGACAAATTCAAAGATAAAAGCAAAAAAGCAGTGTCTTGTGACGGACTTTTTTACAAGAAATAAGTGACATCATATGTTGAGCTAATGCCTTAAGTACAATTAAAAAGAATACATTCTGAACATTTAAAACATCATTGAGGCTGGGGTGTAATGTGCAACCACGAGAGTGGGTTTTAAAAGATTATTATAATTAATAATTAAATTATTCTTAATTCGAGCAAGCCTACAGTAGTTAGATTATGTAGGTAAATAGATTGATTGCATTGTCGGTAAACGTAAAGTATTGGTGCCCTTCCCTATGAGCTTATCCATGCAAGTTTAATTTAGTGAAAACAAAATTTGTAAACATTTAAATTACCCTTTTGACTTTTCTTATCAATAATTTCCTTTTTGGGAAGGGCTCCATAATACTTAACAATTACCACATTGTCATTACACGACAATTTGAAAGGATGATTTTCCCCCTTTCGCTCTATCCTGGACACCTCTGTAAGTTGGACACATTATCGTGGAACCGCAAGTGTCCAAGTTAGAGAGGTTTTACTGTATAGGGTATTGTGAATATGTAAAATTATAGGATATTTGCCGGTTCCAATTAAAAGTGTCCAATATAGAGGGGTGTCCAGGACATAGGGGTGTCCAACTAGAGGGGTGAAATCACATTCGACATATCTGATCAGTTCTTCTGCAAGCTACAGCAACGCTATCAGTCCATGTGCTACGTTAAGCAGCAGCAAATTGATTAAATCGATAACTCAATTTTGCTTCTAGGTCTTTTATATTATTCTTTAATAACGAAGGAACTAGTCAGGCGTGTGCAAAGGCAGGAAGTTTCCTCGTAGCTTCGTATCAAGTTCAACTGAGCTAATCTGGAACTAAGAATGGAATTTTCTCAAAGTTAATTAGTTTAATTTCGGTTTCTCAAGATTAAGGAATCTTGAGGTTCATGATACCAGTGCATTAAATTATGAGCAGAATTTGTTATTAATGGTAGTGGCGGTGGTACAGTGTACCGTTAGGAGCACAGCTCAATTGAAATTGTAGATTAGTCTCAGAAAACAGTTATTATTGGGGGGGGGGGGTTTCAAGTTTTCACGGCGACGAGTAAAAGTAAAGTAAAGTTTGTCCCGCTATACGCCATGTAGGCGCTTGGGGTGAGTGGAGGTATAGCTCCTCTCTTCCTTGACCTCGGCACTAGATGGGGGTGAGTGGTCAGCATCACGCCCCGGCCGGCTTTACCCCCGGGCGACGAGTATAAAGACATATAAAGATTATAAAGGTAGTAAACTTTTCTGAAACGTCGGTCAGTTATGTGCCAGACTACAAGGTGGAACATCCTAGAAAACTGCCATCATCGTATTTTGCCACATTATTTTTTACTAACTCTTATTTCAAAATCCAAAAAACTTCAGGAAATTCAATCAAGCTCAATGTTTGAGGGAGAACAGATTAACGGTGTTTAACAAGATGACCCTAACAGGGCTGAAGTGACAGCAGGTTGGAGAAAACAGAAATATTGAGCTGCATCATAATTTATGCTGTTCGTCAAATATTATCAGGATGATCAAATCAAGGATGATGAGATGGGTAGAGCATGTAGTGATCAAGAGGAACATGAGAATGTGTATGAAATTTTGGTCGGAAAGCCGGAAGGAAGGAGATCACTGGGAAGACATAGGACTAGATGGGAGGATAATATTAAAATGCATCTTAAGGAAATAAAGTAAGAGGATGCGAACTGAATTTTTTGTGGATCAGGATAGGAACAAGGGACGGGTTATTTTGAACACGGCAATGAATCTTCAGGTTCTGTAAAAGGCGGGACATTTTGGTTAATCAGGGAAATTTATAAATAGAACGATTGAAACGCAGACGCGAAGAAGAGTAACACGTTTTCTCACCAAGTCACTGTTAATATTCGTGGCCACGGAATGGACTGCAGAAGAACGGGACATGAACTAGAAAGAAGTGCTTTGTCTCTGTCCACTGGGGATCGAAGTAATTCAGCAAGGAGATTCATTAGGTTCTGTCGCAGATGTAGGTCGTCGCGTTGCACAGAATGGTAGATGCGGGTGTGTGTAATGTTTATTTCTTTTTTGTCAGTATCAGTATGACGTTGCAAGGACATTTAAGTAGCACATTTATGAGACGAGTATTATGTTGAGGTTGTCTCCTGTGGCATAATATTCAAACCTATTTTCTTGATAATTGATCAAATCTCAAAATTTAAATTGGGGACACACAGACAAAAATAATGATCTCATAACCTTATTTGTCCTTTAATTAAAGAAAATATGTTAGAGTTACAATAGGAAATAGATATACCATATGCGCTATAAAATCAACAGAAATATATGTATTTTAGGATTTTAGCCCACGTTTTGCAAAACACGTAATGCTAATATTTCTTAACCGAATTAATCGATTAATCGCGGTATCCCTAATATACACAAATACATATGTGCACCCCTTTCGCTCTGTGATGGATGCGATTGTTTCTGGGGCATCATCCCTCACGGTTTTTAATTTAATTATTGGATTCCCTTGAAGGTAGTGCCATGCTGTAACCCCGTTATAGGGTTCAGTAACCATGCATACGGCGTACTGCAGAGATAAAAGAAGGCAGAATGAGCGGGTGACGTCTGCTGCCTTACTATTGTATGTGGTCAGTCAGCTGACAGTAGTAACGGTTCCAAAACGACGGACTCCAGCGCCATTTCACTGGTTGCTGCATGGCAATATGCACTTCAACAACGGGCATCATTGACACTCTTAATGTGTTAGAATGTTCACATTGCAGAAAGATCTGATATTTCAAATCACGGTCAGAAACTGAAACATGTCGAATTCGTGTTTGAAAAATAATTTACGAACTTACACTTTTCAAACACGTTTACTAAAATTTAAAGAAATTGCTTATTTACGTGTGGTGTGTTATTGACCGATTAAAGACCGTGGTAAGTTTTTGTGACTCGCAATTTAACAGCAACTAACTCTGCTTGTTGTATTTACGAGGGCATCACGCCGTTGTGTTTTTCACCATATTAGCATAATCGGGGGTATTTGGTCTAACAACATAAAATAATGTGATGTGTGTCTGGCCAAAGGTCGCAATGCTAATGCTGCTCTAAGTAGATATACAGACAGCTACATTTGTAAGTAATTATTAAATTATGAAACACTAAATATTTGCTATTTGAACAATTACATGGGCAGACATTGTACGGTAGGGAATTGATTAAAGAAGGTTGTTTTCAAAGTACATTCAAAGCACCGTTGATTTATCCTAATTTGGATTTACGGGATTCCTAAAATATATAACAAGTATTTGAAAAAAATCTCAGTATTTGAGGCCCTCATATTGGGAGGTCCTACGCTGTAGATTATTTAGATTATTTGTAGATCTGGCACTGTTGTGAAGGCCTCTCTTATTGCGCAATTAGGTCAATATTTCAGGACGTTAACTCGGCCAAAGCAGGTACCAATATTATTATATTAGTTCTCTAAGTAATCCTCACCTTTTCAAACACTTTGCAGGCCCATTCTGTCTTTCCTTTGTGCAGACATTTGTATACTTTTGATGAGGCACCCCTGAAACAGATGGAACTGATGTAGGTCAATCTCGGAATGTTCAGGTATGCCAAAAACAATGAGATTTCTAAGTGCATTTGTCGAAGAAATTGGAAACTCACCTCTGCTCTTTTAACGTCCGTCCGTATGCAACAAAGCCCAGACTACTGGAACCAAGTTTCCATGGGCCGTTTTGAATTGAATTTAGTTTGGACCACTTTGAGTTCATAGATGAGCTGTTACTAGTAGGCCATATTTTTGTCGTATTTTTTGATAAAGCTTTATATGCGATGTTTAAAAGTACACGACTATTATCACATGTTTCATTAACTTTAGTTCAGGTGAGATTTCAGGATTAATATAACTATCTTCTTGGAAGTTGCGCCGTACGGTCTGGTAGAATCTGACCGACGTTTCAGAGGTGCTTACTGCCTCCATTATCAGGGCTTCGCTGTATTCCCTAATTCATCCTTGCCTCATAATAACGCACTGCACTTCTGGGGAGTTTAAAGCATTAAATTTCATATTCATTTCCCGCCCGTATCATCACTCTAATAATTAGTAAAGAGTGAAAATTATGAAGGTCTTCATTGTACAGTTTCTCCCACTTCCTATTAATTTGTCTTTTAGGTAAAATTAAAATGTTCTCCTCGGCGCCCTGCTTTAAAACACCCTGAATTCGTGTTCTTTATTTAGGGCTAGAGACTATGTTTCACGCCCATACAAGACGAAGTGTTCTACTTTTACCGACAGTTTTGTTACGTACGAGTGGATTCTGATGGTTAAATGGCGCCGGTGTCACTCCTACCTCAGCATGTATAAAGTACTGGTATTTTTGACGGTACATAATTAAGACCTGCTAGCCTCCAAAGTTAAGACGTTTGTATCAAGAGTCATGAACATTTGCCAATTAGTTTTATACATACTAGAAAGGGGATGAAGACACATGAAAATGATGCTGTAAGTTTGATTTTAAGTTCTCCTGACGACATCCATGAAGATGACTATCTTCTGGCATGTTGTACCGTACAGTTTAGTAGATATTAGCTGACGTTTCAGAGGAACTGTCTGAACCAGCAGGGATATAACCGTGATGATGGAGGCAGTAAGCTCCTCTTAAACGGTGACCAGTATCTATCAGACTAAACGGCGCTACCTTCCAGACTACAGCTATCTTCATGATGCCTTAAGTCTGTTCTGAACATAAAATTTTGAAGTAAACCAAAGGCTATGAATGCGCTTGAATTCATATGGGCCTTCTCATTTGGTATTCTCTTCCACGTTAATAAAATTCAGCAATTGGCAATCTTCCTCTCAAAGAAGCATTATTGCTGTGAAGTGCCAGCGGGTCGGGACTTGATATTAAAATTTAAATAACCAGAATTGATTGAATTAGCAGTAGACTTACAAAGCACCAAGGTCACGAGGTCACAGAGGTCTATTAGTGGGGTCAGTAAGTGATGGCACTCAGCTAATGGAAAACGCTATTTCTGATACCATAGGAAATACTTTATTGGTGCTGTAGTGGCTGCACTGTAAGAACGGCAAAGAAGTTTTGAGAATACAACAATTTTTAATTCATTTGAACAATTTTAATGCAACGATTTAGGTGCAGATGGGAGGATAAAATTAAATGGATCTTATGGTCATACTTGGCAAGCACCTTTGGGGCGAGGGGGGTCCAACAGCATCCGTGTGCCAAGAATTTTATGGCAAGCCAAAATTAACTTCTTGAAGGTATTGTGCATCAATTAATGTTAGCCATAAAATACTTTGGACTGAAAAAATGTCTGTGCTACTTCTCCCTCACGAGAACCGGAGAAGATGCGCCATTAATTTCACAAAAAATCCTATTTCTTCTACAGAAGACTCTAGGAAACATTTAAATGAAACTTTATAGCATTAAAATGAAGTAACGTAACAAGTCTAATTCTAACCGTTTCACGAGGTCATAGCACTGGTGATCAATGATGTGTGAGAAAATGAAAGGACACGTTTCAAGGTGATAATTGGAATGATTAATGATAATGAAATGATACCAAACCTGTTTATCCTGTTGGGATTTCCAATTAAACCTGCTAAGATTTAGTTATTTAGCTGCATGACTAACTGGCCCCGTTTACTGCGATTTATTGTCTGGTTCATTGTATCTTTTTTATTTAAGAACACAGCAATGAAAGTGTTTGCCAATGAATCATTGAGACACCAGTCACTTCAACGGAGCTACGCGACGTTCGGTTTGATCCTCGTCTTTTAATGTGGTTTTAACCCTCGGACTCAAATTTGTAATTTTATGCTAGACGTGATATATAGATTTCTATGAAGAGGCTTTCTTTTCATGCTTAATCTAAAACTGTAATGCAACATTTAACATCGAATTGTTTACTAATAAATTATATGTAAGAGAAAAAGCTATCTGCACGCTGCAACACTGTCTTACAAGAAAAGCTGATGTCTTATCTGTCTTCATTTATAGCCTACTTTACTTTTTCAAGGAAAGGAGTTAGACTTATAATATCGCCTTTCTGTCGGTGTGTTCTATTTTAACCGTTGAACCAGTTGATCAAATTCCATTGAATTCGTACAAACATTATGTCAGAGGAGAACACCCAAATTTATTAATATTTAATTTTTCACTGTCATTAATAACAACATAGCAGCCAAACAAATTTATGATGTGGCAGCGATACTTATTGTAGGGTATTGTGGTTATGCACGGTAATATATCTCCCCAAAATATGTAAATTTCGAAATAATGTTTTTTTGTAGACTTTAAATTAAAGTGGCGGTTTTACGATAAGTTTAATCCAGCTTCCAATTTTAAAGTATTAACTAATGGGCCACTGGAGTTAGGAGTATGCTATTTTTTTATGAAGTTGAATTATAAATATGCCTACAAATTGTGTATGAAATATTATAATTCAACTGTTCCAATTATAAGTATGATGCGAATCTTTGATGTTATATGCCTCACAAATTAAACGCGCACAGAATCTGAAGGGTACATAAGTAATACGTTCTTCCCCAAACTGTAGTAATTTAGAATTCAGACTCGAACAGGATTAGTTGTTTGAAAGTCTACGTACAATTCATTATTTTAACCTGTGACTTCAATTGTGTTGTAGTGTTGGGTTATATATTTATATTACCTGGATCAAGCATCGATAATACTAGATTTGTAGGAACGAGATTCTGTGTAGTACAAATTAATCTTTACGGTGTGTAGCCCGAAATGCGGTTTTCATTGATATTTTTTTGCAGCATTGTTTCCATTATACGTCTGGGATAAATTGAACTTTGCTTTATCTTTTATGGGCTTAGACCTTCTTGTGAAAGTGACAGTCACTCAGATAGTCAAGAAACTCCTCGACTTTTATAGAATCTTGTTCACAGGAACCCATTTACCCTGAACTCCATCAATTCAATCCATACCATTACATTCTGTATAGTTAAGATCCATTTTAATCTTATCCTCGCATCTACGCCTATGTCATTGGACAAGTCGCTGCAAAACTGGCTCCGAGCGTCGCGACGCCGGTACATGACGCATGCATTAGCCACGGGAGACCACTGGACACGACGTTGGAAAACCGACGCCTGCTATCGTGACACCTCCAAAAGACTCCTCGTTCAGCGCACGTTAAATTCCGAATGAAAAATAAATTCGCCTTTTTATAACCTGTTATTATATTAATCTTTTTATCACCACATGATCCAACCACTGAAATGAATGACTCAGACTGATAATTAAACAAACGGATGAGTAAATAATGTTGTACTGTCACTATTTTAGAACTACAGTTTCTTATTTGTACATGGCTGTTATATAAAACTGTACTGGGTACTGGACTTGTATGATTTCTAATGTCATTAGATTTCATGATGTGTGATAACTCTTGTATCTTTATATTGACGCTGTAGTGAGAACGAAGGAAATTATCCTTTTTATGCGTTCGGCTATACCAGATGCCGTATACCCTACTTGATTACTTTTCTGCCTTCTAACAACAACTTTTCTGCTACCACGGGGCCCGAGGAATAATGTTTTATGATCGCTTTAACCAGCCAACATCGCGGCATAAAGCAGAAGTATGCAACATTGCAACAAACTACCTCCTTGGTATTGCTGAGGTTTTACGTTCTCAACACAGCCTGCTACCGCGTCGTGCAGACACCGGTCAGTGTTTTTACGAGAATAAACACATCACACTCGGTTTCATAAACGAAGGATTTGTTATATAAAACCTTGAAGCGTTTTCAGCGATCAAAAGTGATACATCTCTTTCGTCGATCAGCCACGTCAATTCGAAGTCCATGTTTAGGAGTCAAAGACGGTGTTCTAACATGATATTGAAGCTAGTCTGTTAATATTAATGTAATATTTTGTCGTTGGTAATTTCAGTGACCCTTTGTTATGTGATTTACACAAATATGAATTAATGCAAGTTTTAAATAAAGTGTGGAAATGTTACAGGTCATCTTAAATAATGCCCAACGTTACGTCAGTCCCGCAAGTGAATCTTGTACACCAAAATGAAGGTATATTTATTTGTACCAAAACTCTTACATCTGTATTTATTTAGGTTTTGGTTGGTTAAGTGTGACGGAGGCTTACTATACCTGCTTCAGGTTATTCTTATGACTAGTCCCGGGCTATATGCCAAGTTAATTTTAGAAATAATACAACCTGGGCTATTTATTATCTACACCAATGCCTTATAAAGGATGGAGAGTATCAAAACACATCTTATAAATTGATGGAAATCTTGTCCGTAGATTTTCGTTGCTGGAGCTCAATGTAAAATTTTGGCTTTCAGATCAGACCCGCGTCGAATATTTGGTGTTAACAAACGTTTCGGCAAATATTGCAGTTGACATTTTAAAGGTGGGTATGAGGTGAGGGCTGTTCAGAAGAGTGTGTGGTTGAATTGAAGGAGGTAATAGGAAAGTTGGGAGACGGTGACGAAGAGGTTCCGGTGACCATGATGGAAACATGTTAAATGCTTATTTATTTGACTGGT